TGAAAATAAAAATAACCACCCATTACATGATCATCATCCAACATATAATACAAATTAATTTGGTAAAATAAATAAATAAATAAATGTCTAAAAAATTTATCAATTTTACATAATTTCATCTTTAGTGGGTAGAAATAATTTTAAAAATTTTAAATTTTTTTTTGACATTAATTTTTGTCAAATTAATTTATATTTTATTAAATTGACGATTTTGCCCTTAAAATTGAGCAATGAAATTTTCAATTATCCTTATTTGGAACAAGATTCAAAATTTAGAGTTAAATGTGTCACAATTGAAAAGTCTACAAAAGTGACGCAAGACCCAAACTATAGTGACCTTTAGTGTAATTTACCCTAATGAAAAATTAGTCTTTAAATTTAAATAATAATATAAAATTTATCTAAAATATGTAGTAAAAATAATTTATAATTAGATAGATTTTATTCATTTTTATCAAAGGTACACATAAGAGAGTTTTTATTCTACATGTTCTAAGTTCTTAATAAAAAACACATGTCATCAATTATTATACTGGGCTAGCTCAAGGACTACGTTTTTAGCCTAAAAAATGCAATAGACCATAAAAATTTATCCTAAGAGTGAGGGCTAGTTTGACATGTACTAAATAAGTCAAAAAGTCAAAAAGTCACTATCTTATTTAAGTCACATCATCTTATTTAAATCACATCACCTCTCTAACACATCACATCAAACCCAACCCAAACCCACTAATAAGTCAAAAAGTACACTTTTTTAGGACATCCCAAACCAACCTTGAGTGTATGACACGAATTTAGAGTTATTGAGATGTGACATTCACTCACAATAGATGTGTTCAGCTTGCTTGGTTCTATTTTTCTAAAAATAGTTTTTAAAAAATTTTACTTTTTTATTTCTCGTGTTTTTTTGTTTTTACTGAATTTTTTAAATATTTTATGTAAATTTTTTACTTTTTAAACACACCTAACATAAATACACCTAAAAAGTAAAAAAATTGTAAAAAAAATCTTTTAAAAATTCACTAAATACCAAAAATATTAAAAAAAAATATAAGAATTCAATACATTTTTTGTATTTTTATGTATTTCTTAATTTTTTAAAATATTTTTTCACATTTTTTTTATTTTTTAGATACATTTAAGTAAGGTGCATCTAAAAAAGTAAAAAAAAAAATGTTTAAAATTTTAAAAAATTCACTAAAAACAAAAAAATACGAAAACAAAAAAACTCAATTTTTAAAAAACTTAATCCAGAAAACTCAAACCAAACACACTGATTATTTTTATTTTTGAATATTTTTTTTGGTAGTCAAGTGAAATTTTGTCAAATTTATTAATTTAAAGTTAATACTTAAAAATTTTAAACTTTTCAATATAATATATATATTTTTTCAATAAGGTTATGACATGTGTACTTGACATTTTTGACCATTTGATAAATTATGATTAACAACTAAAAAATAATTTAAATATATTAAAATTATATATGATTCAAAATTTTTTTGGACTTTATTTTTAAATTTAAAATTAAATATAACTTAGACATATATCTAATAAAATTACTATCTAACCAAAAAGATATAGTTAAAATTATTTTTTGACATTTTATATACATTTTTTTCATTGAATTTGAATTTGAAAATTAGATATGGTTAGATATATCAATAGCTTTAAATTATATTTATTTTTTAGGTTCAAATATTTAAAAAATGAATAATATTTGAAGTAAATGAGGTAAATATTTTTATAATTTTAAATATATAATACTAAATTTAAATTTAGAATTTCTTTTTGAGGAAATATCAAATTAGATGTGGCCTTATGTATAATTAAATTTATTTATTTGACTTTCTATGTAAATATTTTTTTTAAATTTAAAATTATAGATACGGTTAAATACAATAGTTGTTTGTCATTTGTATTTCTTAACTTGCCTAGAGTCTCTTAGATCAAAAATTTCTTTTGCTCGGTAATAGTATACATATAGATATAGATTAGAATATACTCTATCCCTAAGAAACACACTAATTGATAAATTAAATATTCACTGAAGAAAATTGAAATTGAAAATTATGTAAAATATAATTATTGACTTTTAAGGACTGCGTGTATAAAATTAATAAAAGATACAATTTTTTTATTTTATTTTATTTATAATCTATATGATAGGGTTATAATCAATCGCAAACTCTATTTTTTAAAAGTTTAATATTGACAATTTAAAAGGCTATATATGGCACATCGATTCATTACATGATTTAGAAATAAAGAACTTGTAAAAAATCTCACACCTAATTTTAGCACCGATGCCAACGACTATTTGTAATTACCTTAGAATTTGAAAGAGGCATCTATGGTCATCTTTACATACGGGTTTGGTTTATTGTTGTTCCGTTTCTAACAAAGGTTAGATGGACATGGAGATTAAGCTTTAATGAAAAAGTAAAAAGAAAAAGAAAAAAATAATTTAAACATCAATAAAATCCTAACAATCATCAATTTGAAAGAGAAATGTGTAAAAAGTATTTATTTTAATAGAGATGAAAATGTTTCTCGTATAAGTTTCCTTCTTATTTTGAAAGCAGTAAAATATGTTTATTGCATAAGTTTTTTTTTTTTTTTTTTTAAAGTAAATTTCTCATTCTTAATATATATAGTAGAGATAGATTTGTCACTCTTATGTGAACCAGCCCATGAGTTTGCTTCAAATTTTCCGAATTTTTCAGATTCTAAGAACTGTCCCTGCGTTAAGGCCATTGAGTTCTGTACTTTAACGCCCCTAAAAGTTAGTCCAAAACAAGACCCTAAAGTCTCGTTTGGGAACAGACTAATTTAATAATTTTTTTGTTATTTGGCTAAAATATGAGTTAAAAAAAATTAGTATGTTTGGGATGACTTTTTGACTTTTTATGAAAAGATCTGCAAAAAATAGAAAGAAAAGAGAATCTTTAATTTTTTGGTATGAATTGTTAGCTTTTTCACTAATTTAGTAACTTTTTAACTTTTTGATTAAAAAGAAAGGTTCTCAAACGAGGCCTAAATTGATTATAATATATTACAAATTTAAATAAGCCTAAATTATTTTTGTTACTTTAAGGCCAATTTAAAGGATCCAAAATATTCTGCTGGCCCATATAAAAAAAAATTATTTATTATTGTGATTTGACCCAAATTAAAATTAAACATATACAAACTTTGGTGCCTCTTGAATCAGAAGAACACGACAATGAGCTCTCATCTCTCTCTCTCTCACGTTTCACGAACGAAACACAACCACTGAGCAGAGCAGCAGCCAGAAATTGGTGATGACGACTCACTCTTTCTCTCAGAGTAAGTTCTCCCTCTTTTACTATCAGATTTTAAAAGAACAAATAAATTTATCCTAATTTTCTTTCCCCTTATTTCTTTATAAGATTTTAGTGAAATAAATAATTTTGTCATAATTTTTTTACTTAGGCCTGTATTAGTTTTAATTGAATAATTTTTCCTAATTTTGTTTTATTAAATTGTGTTTCATAATTTCTTTGCTATCAGAATAATCAGTGGATTGTATTTTCATTATATAGTCATGTTCCTTAAGAAGTATAGTTTTGGAAATGAAAATAGAAAGAAGAAGTTGAAAGTAAAACAATTAATTTAGGCCAAGTTTGACATATTGTAAAAAAGTCAAAAAGTCAAAAAGTTATTCAAAAAGTTAAAAAGTTATCACTATTAAGTCAAAAAATTACGGCTGCACAACTCCCAATTCTAATTTTCCCATACATATTAATTTATACAATTTTTTAGTATATATTTTTCCATAAAAAGTCAAAAAGTTAATCCAAACATCTATTTTTTCCCTCAATTTTTTAATTCAAAAAGATAAAAATATACTTATTTAGGTCATCCCAAATCTCAATTGCACTTACAAACAATATATTCAACAATGCAACCACACTCAACTATACTCATAAACAACACATTCAATAAACAATAATTAATTCAATACATTTTAATTGAATAAAGTTTTTTTAATTTTGATAACTTTTTATTTGATACTGTAAAATAAATACATGTTGATATCTATTTTGATATCAACTGATATCAAACAAGGTAATTTTTTCTTTCTTTATGAATATAAACCTCCTTTTTGATTTCTTTATTTTCAATTTTATCCCTTAATTTATCTATTAACTTTTTTTTTTATTTGTTAATTTTTTTTGACTATCTTTTCAAATTTTATAGCTGTTCAAATGTTTTTGCCTATCTGTTTAAATATCTATTCAAATTTTATTATCTGTTCAATTTTTAACCATCTATTTAACTTTTTTTAACTATCTGTTTAAATATTTTCCTATCTGTTCATTTTTTTCTGTTCAAATTTTTATTTTTTCTGCTATCTATTCAAATTTTCTTTATCTTTTAAAATAACAATTTCTTATATGTTAAAATAACAATTTATTTTTCCTATCAGTTCAAATAACAATTTCTTTATTTGTTCAAATTTTCATACATATACACATATAGATAGATAGAGAGAGATTACAGATCTGTGAATTTGATGCTATTACAGATCTGTGAATTTTCATACATATAATTGAACCATGTTGCTGATTTGGTTGCAAAATAAAGTGTATTAAGATGGAGTTGCTTACTTATGTAAAATGGAATTTTTTGGTTTTGCAGGTCCTCATGAAAATGCTAATAGACATCATGTTCATAATGAACTGAAGATGTTGGAGTGATTCGGGTAAGGATACTGAAAAAGGTCACTCAAGGATCAGTCGTTATATTCTTAAGTCAAAAGTTGATATTCAATATGAAACTGATACTTCTAATTCAGGGGTAAGAACTTTGTCATAAAATATGAAGGCTCTTTCAAGAGTGGGAATTCTGAGTGCCTTGTTTTAGAGCATGTTCATCATGACAGACCCGAGGTAACTATATGGAACTTTAGAGGCTTTTTTTTGTCTATTCTTTCTCTGACTTCAGTTTTTATTTTAAATGTTTAGGTATTGAAAAGAGAAATAGATGTTTTCCAGCTCCAGTGGTATGCCTACTACATGTTCAGAGCGCTTGCAGGTTTACATAAGCAGGTGGGATACTACACTAACCGATAAATATGTTCTACTTGGGTGGTTATGATTTCTCCAGAGCTAATGGAGCTTTGTGTTTCTTTTTTCACTTCAGGGAATAGTTCATAGAGATGTTAAACCTGGCAACTTCCTTTTTTCTCGTAAGGTCAATAAAGGATATCTCATTGATTTTAACCTTGCTATGGTGAGTGATACTACTTGTCTTGGGATTTTTACTTCGGCATTCAAATTGTTCCAGAAATTTCTTAGTTTAATAACTTCTTTCTTTACCTTTTTCTGCATAGGATCTGCATCAGAAGTATGGAGCTATTGGTAAGCTGTTGCTTCTTTATTTTTCTATTATTTGCTAGGCAATAAATGACCTAAGATCTAGTCCAAGCCCAACCATCACATTACCACATTAGCACTTGAGCCAAAGGCCAGAGCCCCTTCCATTTCTATTTGATTCCTTATGTCATAAAAATGGGATTTGTTTTTTTAGATTCAATGAAAAAACTGCAAGTTTTAACCTGAAGAATTTGGTGTTACTGAAAAACAAAGGTGTGTTGGCTATGTTAGGTGAATTGGATGATTTGATACAACAATCTTTTAAATTCTTAGAAAGATTGCTCACAATTTTGTAACAACAAATAATTTATCCAAAAAAAAAAATAAATAAATCTTGTAACAACAAATAAAACATTTTTGTAGTTTTGCTAGTAAGACAGACTACTTGAGTGTGTTTTCTATATTTCTTTCCTCCTGCTGTGAAGTTATCTGATCTCACTGGAATATAATTGAAAAACTGGATTAATGGAATTACTTTGCACAATTTCACCGACAAATCAAAGGTGGGCCATGATGTGAGTTTTAATCATGTTCCTCCTGCCCACACCAAGTCTCTTCCTCCTACCAATCAGAAGTTTCTGGTCAGTAAATCTTCGGAAGCAATCAACAAGCAGACAGGAAAAAGGTCCAAGCTCCTTTTATCACCCAAAAATCTGAAAAAGAAGGCGGTAGACCAAACAAATGCCTTTTCTGAATTAGGCAGTAGGAATGTGATGAAAAGCCAAGGTGCAGATGGCTCTGGGGTAACTTCAGCTAAGGATGCAACAAGCACAAGAACTCCTTCAGCGGAAAGGTTGAGGGAACCGATTCCATGCCAAGGTGGGAAGGAGCTGATCAGCCTGGTGCATAAAGCAATGCAGGGTTCAAATTATGAAGCACTCAGTGTTCCAGCTCCTAAGAGAAAGAGGGTCGTCGCACTTCCGGGAAAAGTAGATAGAAAACTTGTTTACCTTACTCCAATGCCAGTGCACTCTGCTGGCATTGCTGTTGCTGGTGCTGGCCTCCTGAAAAACAAAGGTGTGCTGACTATGTTAATTGACTTGAATGACTTGATATGACAATCTTTTAAATTCTTATTAAGATTGCTCACATTGCGTGTTCGTAGGGGATGGGAAGCAAAAGAGAGAAGGCCCTTGTGTTGGAACCAAGGGCTTTCGGGCTCCAGAGGTGAGGAATTGTTGTTATCTTCAGTTCATTATAAATCAAGTCTTTCCATAAATTTGTTGCAGCAAAATAATTAAAATTGGGAAGAATGAGAAACTTGAATGCAGGAGCAAGAGTTGCAACTTATGCTATAATGTTATCCTGACATTTAATAATGGAAAACACTTTCCACATAGTGTTTTAATCTTGTGAGAATTTGTAAGTACCGCCCTTGAATAGTAGCGAATTTCTATTCACAAAATTTGAACTTTATGGAGATCAGGTCATCATTAAATCTGTTTAGCTATATGTGAATTAATGAAGTGTGTGCACCTACTTGATGGATTTCAACTTGTGCAGCCCTTAATAATGAGGTTCTCATCTTTCTCTTCTTTGTGGTGGATTACTAAGAACTTGAAATTTTATTTACTTTGTGGTGGATTACTAAGAACTTGAAATTTTATTTAATTTATTTTACAATCAGTAGGGAAATAGAGGAAAGGGAAACTGCATCATGTAGCAAAAACCTTCAAGTTCGAACCTCAAGGTTTATGTGTTGGTAAGAAGATCAAGTGTCTTACCTTCAGTTGGTCAAATTCTAGTTGGGTGTGAAGATAAATAAAAGTATTACTGCTTGTATCATTTGAGTGAATTTTTTATTATCTTGGAGTGTAGTTTTGGTGTAACACCTAAAAAATTTATCATTCTTCTCTTTAGCCAGGAATCCAATGTTTGGCTTAAGAACTTGATTGTCGAGAAAATCAATGTTTGTAGAGTTAAATTATTACCCACTCACTTGTAGCATGTGGGCACTTGTATCAAGCCAAATATGTGGCAAGCCCTACGAGTGCCACATCACCAAAACTCTGCCCGCGTGGCAGACCAATAAGGCACCACGTGGGCATATCACATGTTTGATACATGGCGAGCCCTATGGGTGCCGTGTGCCAACGTATCACCCAAAACCAAGACTATATGCTTAGCCTAAGCGGGGGCATACATACAAGCCCAAATGTATCTAATTATGAAGAGCCCTGCAATAGGCAGCACCATGGCCTCACATGGCACATGGTCCTTCATACCTCGCTCCAAGACCAAATAATAATATAATTAGCCCCAATTCACTTAGACTTGGATTGATAAACACTGACTTTCCTAAACATTGAGATAGGTCCGCAGCTCATTCTCCTACTTGGTCACTTGGAAGCGAGCCCCTGGCTCTCCTAAACACTGAGGTGGTCCTTGGCCCATTCACTTGCTTGGTCTCTTGGGTTGGGAGTAGGACCCAGGCATTACTACTTGGAATCATCAGAGGATATTGGACTGGCGGTTGAGGTCATGGGATTGTCGAGATGGTTGTCTTCTTGCTAAGACAACTCCATCTCGACTAGGCTTGGAGAAGAGGCAATGACCTTACATTCATGTCATCCAATGCATATACGAAACGTTACTTTCCACCTATCATGAAATGTTGCTTTCCCCTTGCTGTCAAGCCACAGACAATAGAAGGGCTTATATCACTTTTGGCAGAGTTAGGGAGAACGAGCCACCTGTTCAACAGTTTGCTTGGGCTCCAATACTCTTGTGGCCTATATAACGTATCATATATGCAGCAAGAAACTCCACTCCACCACGCAATTCAAACACACTAAATCTCACACTTAAACATTCTCTCTCATATTCTACATTAATGTTCAAGGTCCATTATTGCCAACCTCTTCCTTTCGGCTTGGCCTTCTCTCCACCTCTGGTGATCTCAGTTGATTGAAGTGCCTGCCATCTTCCTACACTACCTCTAACCACACCTCTCACCCACATACCACAATTGGACTTGGTCTAATTTCAGCTTCAGAATCGTTTAATGAACTCCACTCTTATTCTTGACACAATTTTGCAAAACACACTTGCCCTTTCCACTTTACCAACATTGTCATACCCAAACAGAAATTTTGTTCAATTTTTGTAAGTAATGATTTTCTGTTTAGTTTTGTGCTAAGAGCCTAGGAGTTGAAAGTGTGAAGATTATTGTATTTTCTGTTAGTTATTTAGGGTAGTTTCGTCTATTAGATTATGGACGCGCCCGAACATACTGGAAAAATTCTGTTTTGTTCATTGGGCTTACTACAGTTCGGACTCCATGTCACGGTTTTGAATCTAATCTCACAAAGTGCAATGCAAGATCGATAAATCACCAAAGAGTCCAAATCTGACAAATCGTTTTGAAAAACTGATTTTTAGAAAGAAGTGCCAAACATGGACTGCTTTGCCAGATATAGAGTCACGACCTAAATATTTTATTTTGGGAGAATTTAGGAAAGCCTGACTCGTACTTAAGGCCACGTGTCCATCATCACCAAATTTGCCTCGGCTTGGGAACTTGGATACGATTGGGGAAGGTCATCTATAAGCACCCCCGCTCGCCCGATCCGAAGATTGGCCTGTACTAAACATGATATCTTGTTTTTGAAAACATATGCGTTCTTATTTCGGTTATTAGCTAGAATTACTATGTGATGCGCACAACACATAAGTATAGACTAGATCGCCTAAGTTGGAACAAATCACCTCATGTTTGTTTGTTTGTTTGAAAATGGTTTGAAGGTGCTACTCGCAAGTAAGCTAAGGCGTGGATTTGCCACCCTCAAGTGGGCTTTAGAAAACATGATTTTGCCACCTCAAGTGGGCTTAAAACTCGTATTTCGATGAATTGTTCAAATTCAAGTAATCTAACCTTCACCTACAGGCATAAGCAAATAGCCTCATGGCAAGTATGCTATCATGGTAACACTCACACTCATGCAAGATGCTAAAGCACAAAAGCTTACCTGGTACTCCAAGCCAAAACAATAGCTAGTTAGTAATCAATGCATGATCCTAGCTATGTTAAGATGCCTAATGCGACACATGCAAAATGCAACTAGAAATAGGCTTGGCTATCTAAGAATGTCATGTGAAATGTGACAACTCGATACACGTATTCAAGTTGGAATTAAAATACCATGTCGTTAGTATGATGCGCCGAGCCCGATGCATGCAATACAAATGAATGATGCAAACATGAGAGCATAAGAATGCTAATTGAAACATGACCTAAAACTAACTACTGAAAGCAGGTAAGTAAAATGGAGAAAGACGTGGGGTTGGAAGACATTCATATACTCACACACACTTATTACAAAATTGGCCCTCTCGACGGAGGGTCCGAATAACAAGCTAACTAGCTAATCTAAGCTAATCTAATTAAACTAGTTATTACACAACGAAATGAATAACGAACTATAGCCAATTATTACACAACTCTAACCAATTAACAAATTAACTAAGTTAGCAATTAAATAAGTATATAAACTATATGATGTAGGCTGCCTCAGCTCTGCTTTGGATGGAAAAGGATGCATGCATGCTCGAGTCACCTTGTTCGGAAATCCCTCGCGACGCCTCGATTTGCCTCTGTTTGCAATTGATCTCAGAAACTTGCACCAAGCTCCAGAGAGATGAAACTCCAACTTGGGAATCTGTAGGGATGCTGCCGATCAGATATTGGCCTTGGAGACCACCTGCCGACCACTTTTTGTGGTGAAAACTAGAAAAAATGGTCGGCCAGCCACTTTATCTGGTCGGCCGACCAGTTTTTGCTGCTAGTTTCTGGTTTTCTGCAACAGAGGGCAAGAAAGGGGCATTGCAAAGTATTTGTAACACATGTATGTGCGACCACCCTCCCTATCATTACATAACCTCAAAGGAGTGTAGGTCTCGACCCTCGGGCCACTAATCACGCATCTCGATGCATGATGGCCGAGGGGCCGAATTGCACAACTCAATATGGAATGAATGCATATACAAACACCTAAAGCCTAGAACTCCGTCATGTATAGTCAAGAGTGTCGGCGACCGGGAATCGAGGCACGTTTCATCACTTCGAGTATGAAATGTCCCTCGTTTCCCGTGTTTGGACTAACGCCTATTCCAAACACAATGCAACAAACATGGCATGCACAATGCGACTCAATCATGCAACTTAATGCAACACAACTTGGACATGCAAGCATGCAAAGGATGATCATGCAAACTTGCAAACTAGCATACACGATGCTATGAACTATATGGCATACACAACGCTCATGACACTAACATACACAATGCACGTGGTAACCAACATACATAATGCAATGAAAATGGCATGCACAAGTGCAATGATCAATCATGTAACAACATGGCATGCTCAATGCTACGAACTACATGACATACTCAATGTGCAATGGACTTAAACGGAAATGAATAGGCCTCAGCCATGTCCAAATCAACGGCCATTGATGATGAAATCAAGGCACCAAAACACACACAAACATGTATAATGCAATGGCCCAAGCCTAAGGCACAAAATACAACTCTCCAAGAGCATTGAAAAGATGAAACATGGAGTACACTGGCATGTGTTCCAGCACTGAAATGGCATGCGAGATGACTTAGAATCATGCAAAACAACTCACGCAATGCATGTTGAAAGGCTCAAGTATCGAAAGCTAGTGAAGCATATTACACTAGAGGCATGCAAGGCGATGCTCAAATGACCAAACTAACCCCAAACAGACCCTATGCAGGCCAAAACAGTAGCAAAATGAGTTGGGATGATGGCTTTGAAAGGCACAAAAATGGGGCTCATGCAATGGCTCACAAATAGGGCATAAAAGCATAACTCTAAAGAGCACTTAAAGAGTGAAAAATATGGAAGTACAGCAGCTCTACATGCTTTGAAATAACATTCCCAATGATGCCAAAACATGCAAATATCTTAAGTTAAGCATGCAAGAGACCTCAAAACTCAAAGCTAGTCAAGGCTATTACACAACAAGCATGCATGGCAAGAATCATTCGACCAAGAGGCCTCAAAATAGAGCTAAGACAGCCCAAAATATGAACAAAATCATGTTGGAGAAAAGCCAAAATGTGCTAGAATAAAGAGCCAAAACATCAAGCGAACCAAGTTAGTAAACAAGATTTACACTACAAGGATATGGAGCATG